TTAAGCACTTGTGAGAGCATATCTGGAGTAGTATGTCCAGTTTCAGCCTCCCACTACAACAAAGATCAAGTGGTACAAGTCCAGCACAGGTGGAAACTAAGATGGTACTAGAGCATGTCATCAACAGGAGAGACTGAAGGACATGCCCAGTCTTGGAGAGGCTATGAAAAGAAAAGCCCAGGGGGATCTCATTGCCATCAGGGCTATCAAGTAATGTTGGTTAYTGGGAAGATGAGGCAATATTTTCTCCAGAGCTGAACGGCATAAGGACAAGCAATAACAGATATAAGGTGCCATAAGGGAAATTCTGATTAGATACAAGGAAAGAAATCACAATGAGAGTGGCCAAATGCAGTCACAAGGGCCCGGAGAGGCTGTGGGAGCTCTGTCTTGGGAGACAGTTTTCAGATGCCTGAACAGCCTGATCTACCTTTGATGTGATAAGTGCTTGGATTGGAGGCTGGACTAGAGACACACAGGGACTGAAACCTTTCTGTGATTCTGTGATTATATGAAATTCACTAAAATTCAGGAAAGACTTGAAAATGAGGAGCTCTGTGAATTCTCAGAACAACCACCTCTCTGGGGTGGTTGAAGGAGACAACCTCCATCTGTTCCCCTTGCCTGTGTCAGGGCCAGGAGTATGGAAGGCATGTCTCCTCTTCAGCTACCTCTATTAGTGATCCAGTGTGATAGCACAGACTGAGAACTATGGTCTAGGGTCTGTATGTGAGGTGGCGACCTCCGGCAAAGGAGCACAATGCACACTTGAGTCAACAGTTGCCACTTYTAAGGCTTGGCCCTATGATTTCATTCCCTGGGGAGCAGATCTGGTCTCTCCTTCCTCCGGGCAGTCCCTCCCCTCTCCTTGCCTCCTTCCCTTCCCAGTCCTCTACATTGCTCCCTTGTGGCTGTGCCAAGTCAAACACTTCAATGGCTGCTCTCTAAATCATATCAGTGGAAGGACCTGGCTGCAAAAAAAGAACGAAAGCTGTAGTCAAAAAATATCCTTTCACGCAATATGCTTTCATGCAGAGCTGCCCCAAGCAGGCAGAGCTGTGGGGGACACCCTTTAACAAAGGAATGATCAGAATAGGAGCTGCCCCCTGAGCCTTCATCAAGTGGTGCACACGGCTCCTCTCCTCCAGCTCTGGTTATTCACACACAGCTTGAGTCATGTTTTGACACTGCTGTGTGCTGAACAGTGAAACAGGGACAGAAAGGGATGGCAGTGAGGGGAATGTTCAAGGGAGCGAGCATGGGAACCGATTCCCAGTGACCCATCTTTTGTACTGGGACAATCCAGGGAAGACACAGCTTTTCAGCACAATTTCTGAAAAGGAAAATTATGCCAGTTCAGGTTGACATTTCTTTTTTTTTTTCTGAAGCAGGGCTCCAGCTCCTCAACCTCAGCACTCAGTGAGGATGATCAGGAAAGACTTTGGTGTCCTTATTAGCTTGTGTCTCCTGCTTCTGTGGAGGGCTTCATTCCCAGGTATGATGGTTGTTGTTGTTTTGTTTTGTTTTTCCTCTTCTGCATACATGTATTTATTTTCAAAGAGTGGAGGTGGGTCCTGGAAATGTGGAGCGGGTTAGTGGTTTGAGGGTGAGGGATGCCCTGCACTGCTTTGCTCACCCTGGGCTGTGAGTCCTGCTGCTCCTTCCCTGGGGAAATGATGTGAAGGAGCCCCAGACTTGCTTTGTCTTGAGTGTACAAATTACCATGAGTTCCCTGGCCCACAGAGATGCCTTCCTTTGCCCCAGGAGATCAGTACTTGCTTTCTTGGTTCAAGGCCAGGTTGGCAGGCTTAGCAGCTCAGTGTGCTCCCAAACACCTCAGCAAACTCAGCCAAGTCCTCTCCACATCAGGTGCCAGCCCTGCAACTGCTCAGGTAGGCACTTGCAGGCCCATGGTGCTCATGCCTGCAAGCTTGGAGATCCTGTTGGTACTGCCATCTGACCAGTGATTCCGTCCCTCCATGCTACACTTCTGTAGCATCCCTGGCCTGGAGTTAGGCTCTTAATAATCCTGGCTGTTTTAATCACCTCTCTGTGCTTTGTGCAGTCTCTTCTTCTGTGCATGTGCATGTGCATTTATGACCTCCTGTGAAACTCTGAGTGACTTGCACAAGGAGAAGAGGGATGAGGAGCTAGAGGATCCTGCAGACATCAGACTTGTAGCCAGCCATACTACTAAAAGAGCAGTTTTGGAAGTGAGAAAGGGCACAGGCTGTACTGAGTGTAATGGTCCCCACTGAGRGGAAGAAAAAAACAGCAAGAGAAATCAGGCAACCTCCCTTCTCTCTTTACTCGTTTATTTCTTTCAGGTGTGGCTGCATCAGTTTAGGATTCCCTTAACATATGTGTGTGATTAAGAAGTGCTCTGTGTTGAATTAAGCACACTGTTATAAGGAAACAGGAAACTGCTGCTTTTCCAGAAGTATTCCTGGAGATGTAAGAAATCCACAGGCTACCCACACTGCTTGAAAGAACAGCACCTCCCATAGCCAGCCAGCCAGCACTGAGTCTCATGTAAATTTGTATTTAACTTGGCAATTATATCAACCCTCATCCCAAGCTAGCTTAAAATTAAAGAATTGCAAAATAACATCTCCATATAGATTAGTATTTGTCTCATTAAAGCAGTTTAGAAAATCACTATAAATGGCACTGTAAATCTGTGGTATGGGGAAGAATTTCACTCTCGGCCAAGCAGCATGCACATTAGCAATCAATTACTCCTGTAAATCCCTATGCTGCCCGTAGATGGGAGCGCATGTCATATTCTTCATTCCTCCCAGCCATGCTGCCTTGGGGGCCAAGGTGCATTTCAGAAACACTTTCTTGCTGTGCCAGCTTGTTAAGGAGATGTTTCTGTGATCCATACGGGTGGAAAATATACCCTGTAGTTTTGTTTCTCTTACTCAAGTGGCAGTAGCTTCCACCGAGCTCACAGTGCTGACAACATAAGTTTTGGAGRCAGTGGCATCTGACAGAGGAGAAAGCCTTGGTCTGGCACATTATAGACCAACCACTGTACTTGAATAAGGAGCTTTGCTTGCCAGGAGCATGTGGATTTATGGGAGCATGATATGCCATGCAAAAACACGTGGGTATGGAAGTCTCTGTAACATGGGAAATATAGCTTTATATCATTAGGAGCTTCTTGTATTATTTTGTTTTGATATTGTATCTACTTTAAAAATGAGGTATTATGTATGTTCAAAGCATCAGAAGGCTGTGGTTTGAAAAGTCAAAATCAATACATGAATTTCTTTTCTCTTTCAGAGTATGCGAGTGCCCAGCAAGACACAAGCAAATAAATGCAGGAGTATAGACCCCTCCAGACACAGGTGCGTACAGTATTGAAAAGATCACATCCTTCTCTGTATCTGTTTGGTGTGGTCAAGGTTTAGATTGGTTCACTTTTTCTTTTTAAGCAGCAGTACTCCTGAGTCAGGTTTATMTATTCAAGAAAAGCACTAATGGAGAAGTTCCTAAACGTCTTCTGTAGCCATGTTCTGGAGCCAGATATGCACCATCTTCTGAGACCTGATCCCTGGTACACAGTGACACCTCTAAAGAACCCAGTATCTCTTCCCAATTTGCCTCCCAACTGCAACCTCCCAAATCACTCACTCTGATCCATGAAGGCTTGTGGCTGATAAATCCCCTCACCCTACCAACCATTAGAGGATTCATGTCCCCAAGGAAGAACATGAGTCTCCATTAGTCAGACTGTTCCTTTTTAAATTTTAATTAAATATGCAATATACAAAGTCCTAAATAAATATGTAGCTGTGACAGATAACARTGTACTCTATGCACCTTTGTGGATAACTCTGTGTATTTATGTAGAGAGTATCATGGAAAGCTATTTACCAGATGCAGAGCAGACTATAGAATGATGCAACTCTGCAGGCTCATTACCAGGGTGCAGTCCACACAGCACACACACATATACATGCACACATGCACACTCACTCATTTCTGGGAAAGAGGGTGTCTGGCTTCCACAACCTGGAAATTTGGGAAATGTTTGAGTTAATGCCACCAAAATGCTGGGGAGGAGCCAGAGCTCAAAGGTACACACGGTTGTATCCCACCTGAGCATTGCAAGCAGCTGCATGAGAGAGGTTTTTGTTTCAAGGATGCGCAGACGGAGGTGGGAGGAGGTAGGGAGGAGTGTTTGTGGCGTATGGCAGGAGCCTCATGGTGCTCGGAGCGGGAGTTACCACCTAGGAATCATTTAGGAGGGACGCTGATGTTAGAGAGCAAATCAGAAAATGGGAGAGAATGAGTCAAGGGAGTAGTTGTAGAGGTTTGTGCATCTTTAAATTTTCTTCCCATTGTGTTATCTATCATCTACTGTGCCTAAGTGAGGAAGAGTTTGGAGGTGAAAAAGAAGGAAGAAAAAAGGAATGTTTTTTCCCTCTCACTCCTAGTGAGCTCTGAAGGAGAGCAGGTTAGGGCTGGGGGTGGGAGGCAAGAGAAGTGTCATGCCTTTATTGACAGGATCACAGGCTTTCTTGCTGGTACCCAAGATCTGCTCACAGGTGGGCAGGGGTAGAGTCATGCAGGGCTGATGTTGCTGTTCCTTCCTGCTCTCCAGTCAGCTGTGTCCTGGGTAAGAGAGCACAGGTCATTGCTCTTCCTGCTGCTCTAGTCCCGCAGCATTCCTGCTGGAAATAGGCCAGGCCAGGTTCTTCCTAGGACATTCCCTTATCAGAAGAGATCAGATCCATCTCCCTGGGTGAGCGGGGACAGGATTGTCTGCAGTGTCCCGAAGTCTTCTTCTAGGAATAACAGAGATAGCCGGGTACCTATGGAGACACTGGTCGGGGGGAGTGGGGAAAGAGAACGCCTCCCCTTCTCATCAGCATCAATAGTGTGGGGGCTGAGTCTGCCTCTCTTCTGCAGAACTGAGACACTTGTCACCATGTGGCATGGTCACCAAGCTCCTACTGACAGGCATTTAGTCTCTTTGCTCCCTGAAGCAGCTACATGGGACCTTTCCCACCAGTGTAATCATGGTAAGGGCTGGGCTGGGCTTTAGGCCGAGGGATGCTGAAATCCTTCTGGGGTTCGATGGCCTGAAAAAGAGGCAAAAATATCATCACCTTTCAAAACTGGAGAAAATAGTAATAAAGAATAAAAAAAAAGTAATAAAAAGATTAAGGAGAAATGTGGGGAGAGAAATGAACTGTGCATTTCCTGCAAATGAAAGACAATCATGGCAGAAAAAAAACAGTGATGGATATGGTGTCTTTGGAGGATGTATGGAGACATGACATGAGCTACWTAGACCCATCCAGGCTATGATTTGAAACAGGAGTGGTGAATGTACACCATTCACCCTAGACATGCACTACAACTTGCAGCAACTGAGGCATGGCCTGGGGAAGGGAACACATTCCACTGTACTAAAAGAATTGCACTAGAATAGAGAACTTAGTATGTTATATTATGTCCAGAAATATTGAAAACACAGTCTCAGATTTTGCCRTGGGCCACTTTGCCTCCTCATACCACTAGACATGCCATGACTCTGTCCTCTCAGCCACGTACATATATCACATCATTGTCTGACTCTAGGCAAGGCATCCAACCCCCTCCACAGAGCCTTTTCTAGGYTCATATAGTTTTGCCTTTATTCCTTGCTTTCCAGTAAAATGCTGAAGAACAGCATATATCTTATAAAACATATGATAAGGACTGTGCATTTACCTTCATCTGAAGTTGAGGAGAGTATGGGGAGCTGCTGGGGTCTCCTTTTCCTCCTGAGATACAAAATAAGATGGTGAAAATTAGTGAATTAGTTGTTATATTGTAGCATGGAAACATCACATCAGAGGGGACAAGGGYCTACAGCTACTTGAAACTAAGCTGTATTAGCAGCTGCTTTAAATTTGCCCCAAATTATGAGCCCTGCAGGCAATTATGGATTGAAATCCACAGGTGATTCTTTAATAAATATTTCATGCAGGAATAAAAGCAGGAGTAAATTGTATTGTAAAAAGTAGGACAGATGGCATTGGATTATAGACCATTCCTATTGTCTCCCAAATATTTTCCTATTCATGACCAAATCTCTCCCATTTCCGTCACAAGACWCCCTCTGCAGCCTTCGCACTTCTTCTCTCTGCTATTTTTTTAGAAACCTGAAGGTCTGATTCCAGAAAACTAATRTACAGACTCATAGGGAGTTCAGCTACATATTCTAATAATAGCCTTGGGAAGCCTAAAAGGTAAACCGTTTTGCTTTATCAAAGTAGGAATGATACTCATATAGAAAAGTAAGTCCTCCTGGATCCTTTTTGAAGGAGTGGAAACCAGTTCAGAACGGAAAGAAATAGTCTCCAAGGTATAACCTGGAGAGGTCTCAAGTGTTGAAAAGTTGGTAAAAGACAAACAGAAACTCTCTTGAATCTTTATCCAGACTTTTCAAACATAGGAGTCACAAAGAATTTTGTCTCTTCCTTGACRAAGAGTAAATCTTTTACCCACTCATTCCTCCCTCGTATTTATGGCTTTTGCCTTTGTCTTGGTTCTTACCCCCTTCCCTCTTTGTTTGGGGGATTCTCATTCACTTACATGTCTTCATCATGCTGAAACTTTTTCTACCTCTAAGTCGCTCATTATTTTGAAATTCTGTAGCCCTCCTAGCCCTTTCTGCTCATGAGCGGTGCGTATGTGCTTAGGGCTGGGAAAGAGAGCAGGCAATCACTTCATCATACCTTGCAGAATTTCATCTTGGGTGTAGGCATGATTGTCCACTCCAGAGGTCTGTTTTATCAATCTGGGATTGCAAAAATCGTTTTCTGCAGGGTAGTCTTCCAGCCTCAGAGGGGCAGTGAGGAAACAAATTTCAGGGATCATGTACATTATCAAGAAGATCCATCCATTGGACACCAGAGCAATGGCCACGACAGGATCATCCCAGGTAGGATGGTTTAAATTTATGTTGCCTCTTGTGAGCATAGTGATCCACACCACCCAAATGGCAATGGAGAACAGGACAGTGACAAAGATGTGTGCTCCATGCCTCTTCCAGGTTCTATATGGCCCACAAAATGTGAACATGGAAACCAGGAAAGTCAGAGCCATTAAGAAGAGCACATAGATCAGTAGCATGACAAAGTCTTTGTTGGTCTTCTCTGCAGACATATTCAGAAATACATCTTTTTGGTTTACTATCATGGTGACTAGGTACTCAATGCTGATCACAACTTGCACCAGAGCAAAGGCAGCAATGAGAAGCAGCAACACCAGCCAGGAGAAGGACTTTCTTCCTTTCACTAGTTTGTTGAGGTTGCAGGCATGGGTGAGGAGACAGGAAAAGCAAAGAGCGAAGAGGACTCCAAATAGGAAAAAGCGTGTGGGACGAGTATTGTCATTGAGTTTAATGATAAAGGCAAACGTGAGACCAAAAATGCCAAGGGTGCCTAAGAGGAAAAAGAAATAGATGGAGATCATGTGTCGCTTGCTGTTGTCTTGGACTTTACAGATGAGGAAGAAGAGTGAGCAGATGAGGAAAATGGTGACAATGACTCCAGCTGCAGCCAGTGATTCCAGGACAATGCCCCAGGCCTGCTCCATGTCACAGAGCAGATAATAGTCAGCATTGATGTTGCCGCAGCCTCGGGGAGCTGATGTCGTTGTCATTGTTGCGCCTTCTCAAGTGATCCCTCAGGGATATGTTTCCCAAAAGCTGCAGAAAAGAAAGACACACGCTATTGTATCAAGCACTTGAGCACTGCAGATGCAGGAGAGGAAGGAYGGATGTCCACTCTCACTTCATAGGGCAGGTAGAACACACTGGTGAGGACATGAAGGTTATGTAAGCAAAGCTGGCTCTTTTTTTGGTGTAAGTACCCTTGCTGGGGAAAGAAAACCTCTCAGAAGTCAGYAATTGACCTTGTAAGCCCTTTGCACAGTCCCTGGATTGTGCAATGTTGAGGCATGTGGGGAGAGGCAGAAGATGATGCTCTTACCCAGGTGTTACCTTGGTGCCCTGAAGCACAGAGACTGAGCTGCTGTGTCACTTTTGTCTCAGGTGATACAAGAACAGATGTTAGTCATAAGACACTTTAAGCTCTTTTAATATATTAAACAATGTTGGTACCTTATACCAACAACGTTCAGAGAGCAGGAAGCTCTTCTCTGCTCTTCTTTTCTATTACTTCCTCTGAAACACTCTTGGCTTTAGTTTATGGGTAGGAGTGAAAGGAAAGTTTAACTTCCTTTAACTTGCAAACCATTATCTTGGATGCCTTCAGCACAGATATTCTCATTCCAAATTAAATAGCTGGTATAGACCGGCAGCCATAAGCCCAAGATCCTATTTCTCCATCTTCACGATAGCACAGCAATGAGAACTATCTTAAAGGTCTCAGCGCTCTCCCCATTCTGTTGCCACGATGTGTCTGGAGTCCTGACAGATATCAGAGTTAGTTTTGGCATTGCATGAGAAGTAAAAAGTAAGTTACTCCTAGGGACTCTGCCACCTGACAGTCAAAGAAGGATAAGGTCTCTCTGAGTAAGCCTCATCTGAGCCTGTCTTCCTGGGAGAGAAAGGGTTATTTTGATGAACTTTGCCCATCACTGAGTGGAATTAAGTTGTCTGCTTTCTCTGGTGCTTGAAGCTCTGCAGAAATACTGGATACTGAGCATTTTGTGGCCCACTATAGAGATGTCAAGTGATTTTAGGTCCTCAGCACTAGATACCACTTTCTTGGTGACAGAATCGCTCAGTGAAACTCAAGTTTCTACAGTCTGTCAGAAAAGCTCTAAGATACAAAATGGACATGGAAAATGGGAAAAAATGTCTTTAGTTGACATACATAAAAACAAAGATCTTCTCTTCAGACATACTTAAAGAAAATTAACTGATTTTGAAAAAAAAAATAAAAAAGAAAAATAAAATAAAAAAGAAGACTTTTGCTTCTCTCCTTGAATTTCTCCTCTGTAGAGAACATTCTGTAATTATGAGACTAGTTTTGAAATCCTTACCATGAATTTCAAGGAGGGGAGAATGAATCTCCAGTAGATGGTTGATGGCTTATCAAAGCATGAGGTGGGAAGGGGGGAAATACCACTGACTTAAACTCAGCCCCACACATGACTTAACATGATCTGCTTGTGAATGGTGTAATGTAAATCCAGCTGCTAACCTCACTGTGCTGAAGGAGATGTGGAGCTCTTCAGAAAGTCACTTGCCATAAAATGCAAAGTATGCAAATATTCAGGTACTTTGGAATTTCACGGAAACAATGGAACCTGTCAATAATGCTTGGGGGAGTTTTGAGGAATCATCATTGACAAAATTTTGGGAMTTAGGATAACTTGTACAAATAGCTAAGGGATATCCACGCATCTAAGAGTAATGCATAATAGTGTAGGAAAATCCCTACAGCAAATGCTACACTTCTGTCCACAGAACGCTACTGTTAACATTTACCAATCTCAAGCTCTGGCAGATTCAGGCTTGTATCTGGTTATCTGGAGAGCCATGAGACTCTACTCCAGCTCTGAATACACCTCTAACATTGGGTCCTGACTGGTGCTTACCACAAGTGAAACTTGACACACAAGAAGCTATCACAACTCTTGGAACAAACAGGATAAAAAGAATCCTCATTATCTTGGAGATGTTGGTTATTTGCTCTGTTTCTTACTCCCTTTTCTTTTTTTCTCCCAGGGTGGATGTACTATTAGGCAAGAAGAATCTGTGCCCTGACTCCTTACTGAGTGATCCCTCTCAGAAGCTGAGTCTGCTCATCTTGCCCATCTTGTAATACTTACACCAGTGTCCAGGATTTCCAAGGGGCTCTGCAGACTGAGTGCAGGTAGTGGTAATTTCACTACCTTCTGATCCATCAGATACACATTACAGCTTACTCCAAAGAATAGTTTTCACAGTAGTGCTGAGTGTTTTCCCCCTGGTCTGAGCCTTCTTTCTCACTCGTAGTCATGCATAAAATATGCCAATCTAGATACAAATTTCAAATCATTTCCCCAGGAGGGTCTGTCATACACCCCCAGCCTCCAGCTGGCAGTCCCACGTTATAGCTGGGAACAGGAGGCAGACTATGGTTTTGCCATGGTGCCCGATGGCCCTGCTCACTCATCTCTCATCTCTTGGAGCCATGCTCCTGCACACCCATCCCGTGTCAGCTGGATGATGCCGATCCATCCCGTACGATGTTTCCTGGAATTACCTTCCTGGGTCCTGCCTGGAGCCCGTGGTCCCACGGAGACTATGTCAGGGAGAGGCAGATTCCCAGTGCTCCAGTAACACAGTCACCTCCGCTGTGGTCACGGCGGCGGAGCAGCAGCTCTGTGCTGAGCTCCTGCGGAGCCTTAAAGGCTGGAGGGCTGGGAGGAGTGGCCGAGCACGCCTATTCCAGTTCCACCGCCTGTCCCACGCTGCTGCTGCTGCTGCGAACATGGAGTGCCYGTGCCAGGAAGTGAAGTAGGGCCCTTGACGTCAGCAGGGCAGGCACCGCGGCCTCAGGGTGTGGATGGGGCAGCTGTCTGCCCCAGCCGAACGGGGCTCGGCCAAGCGGCCGATAAGGAGCCCTTCTGTCTGTGTCCTGGCGCCCGTGGGTGGTGCACGTGGATGTCAGCACTTTTTCTCCCTGATCCAAGCCCTTGTCGTCTCCATACTTTAGCACCAGGTAGCCACTTGCTGAGGAAGGGAGAAGTGGAGGAAGTCTTAGGAAAGCAAATTGTCCCACAGCTTTTATGGAGAGAACAGCCATGAGTCCAGCTCTGGAGACAAAGTGGGTTTCCTGATGGCATCTGCATCTATATGCACTATATGGATGTGTCTTACCTCCTCTCCTCTCTCATTGCTCCATCTGTGCCAGTAAGAGCCGTGTTCACCTTTCCTGAAAAGGACAATTTCCCTTTCCTGGTTGCCAGCTCCTTCTTGGCCCTGCTCTCTGATGGCACAATCCCATTTGCTCACTGGCACTGAGTCATTTTGCCCAAATTGTTGGCCCAAATGGCTGATGAATGAAAACAATGACAAATCCACCTCGCTCTACACTCTATCCCTGGCCTGACACACCTAACAGTGCAGAAAAACAGGGGAATGTTCAGTGTTGTCATGACTTTTACCTGAGGGGAAGACGTTAGGGAGGATGGGGACAAACTCTTCTCAGTGGTGGCCAGTGATAGGACAAGGGGTATAAGTTGAAACACAGGAATTTTCATCTCCATGTGAGGAACTTATTTACTGTAAGTGTGACAGCCCTGGAAGAGGCAACCCAGGAAGGTTGTGGAGTCTCCTTCTCTTCACATCTTCCAAATTCACTTGAATGTGACCTTGTGCCATGAGCTCTAGGTATCCCTGCTTGAGCAGGTGGCTTAAACTAGATGATCTATAGAGGTCTCTTCCAACYTCAACCATTCTGTAATTCTGTGTTCTTCATCTGTTTAATTCAGATGTTGCTCACTGGGAATTTTTTATTATTGTGGGTACAGGGATTAATACTAGGATCCACCCATGTCAAGCATCAAGACCCTAGCCCTAAATTTAGAAAGCCCTCTCACCCCATGGAGGATTTGCTCCTTCCCAACCCTGGGAGAGTGGCTGCTCAATCTCATTCCAAGTTCTTACTGTGGACAGTTATCTCATCCACATGTTTATGTATATAAGTATAAATGCATATATTTTATATATATATATATTTGTTTATTTGTTTGTGGGCCTCTGATTTATTTCAGGTGMTGATTCCTCACATCCCTCTTACTTCCATTTCATTGTAAAAATCTGAGGCTTCTTAGGAAAGGACATATCAGGTTTCTTTACCTTAGGCTAATCTGTAATACTAAAGTTAAGTTTTCAGTAAAGTAAACTTTAAAGTAGGTCCTAGGCAGCTTAAGCCAGCCAAGAAAGAAGCAGCTGTTAAAAAAAATGAGAGGAAGAAACTCAGCTCAGTGGGGTTCTGCTGGTTTACAAATAAAACACAAGAACCTTCCAAAGATCACCAGTCATTCACCAGGCGATTTGCATCTTGTCAAAGTGCATTAGGAACAGCCATCCACTTCTGTATACTTACACAGAAACACAAAACCTAGTGGAAAGTAGCATGTGAAATTATGCCAGTTTGGGGGGGGGGGGAGGAAACAGAAAAAAAAAAGGAAGAAAGTACAAGAAGATTGACTGACATTTTCCAGAATCCCTGAGAAATCCCTGAGTCAGCACTCTCTGTACTTTCAAGACATTAATGCGTGTGGCTGTATTTTTAAGAACAGTCCAAGCTACCTAGAAGCACAACTTCTAGTGTTCCATGATTGCCAGAAAAAAAAAGGTTAAAAAAAAAAAAAAAAAAAAAAAAAGCAAACAAAATAAAGGGTGCCATGGCCTTCCTGCTGTGATGAGGCAGGAGGCCAAACATTGCAGGTCTATTAAGCAAGTGCAAACAACACAATTGTTTCCATAAAAGAGAAGACTGACACCTCCCTTTAGGGATGGGGTGTAAGTTGCAGATGGACATATCTAAATTTAGATGTCTGCAGGTTACCATCTAAGTGTGAGATGTGCGTCTGACCTCTCTTTGTAGCCAGAGGGCCAGAAGGAGTGGCCCAGCTTATAAGATGCAGTTGTCTATTTCTGTGTCTACTGAAATGCTCCCAGGTGTGGTTGACTGAATTGC